AAAATTTCACTTAGATGTTAAATCAATCCATTATCAGTACCATAAAATGTTTGTGTTAACATGATTTGACCTGAAACAGAAGCTTTTGTTTTAAAAAAAATTACTTAGTGGTCTTAAGGCAATTAATTTGCTCTCTTGAATAATATCCATGAATTTTCTTTGAGTTTGACTGATGAACAATATCAAGATAGATAGGTGGTTTATATAAATATGACCACATCTAATTCCTACTCTTTGGAGTGAGGTCCCCCAAATATCCAGGTGGCCCCAAACTGCTTGTGTTTCAGAAGGCCTTTGGCTAAGGGAAGCCCCTTCATGGAATGGGTGTGCTTTGTTACTGCATCTTTTGTCATCTTTTTCCTTATTTTTACTGTTATATTTTTTTGCTTTTTTACTTATGAACTGCCTCTTGTTTCTGGGAGTCAGGCAATGTATAAATGCAACTAAATAGAAAAGATATGTAATATATATCAAATACATTATATAAGTTTAGAATTTGCCTTATCATATATTTGACAACTGGATCTCTCCACCCAGTATTCTCTGCCCAGCCTTTTGTAAATCTACTATCCTCCTGAAATTTTGTATTGAGTATGGCTATTGTATTGAGTAGTACTATTTGAGTCGTGTGTTATTTAATCATGATTTATTGAATCACCCCCAAATGGCTAAGCTAAGCCAACACTAATGAATTCATTAGCCACGTTACTGCAATCCATTCTGCACAGCTAAACAGTGTCCCTATTCAATGTACCATCTATTCCCCCCATGTGCAATTGTTCTCCTTGGAGATGCCAGGATCAAAGCATATCTCTTATACACTGCTCAAAAAAATAAAGGGAACACTTAAACAACATAATGTAACTCCAAGTCAATCACACTTCTGTGAAATCAAACTGTCCACTTAGGTAGCAACACTGATTGACAATCAATTTCACATGCTGTTGTGCAAATGGAATAGACAACAGGTGGAAAGCATAGGCAGTTAGCAAGACATCCCCAATAAAGGAGTAGTTCTGCAGGTGGTGACCACAGACCACTTCTCAGTTCCTATGCTTTCTGCCTGATGGTTGGGTCACTTTTGAATGCTGGCGGTGCTTTCACTCTAGTGGTAGCATGAGACGGAGTCTACAACCCACACAAGTGGCTCAGGTAGTGCAGCTGATCCAGGATGGCACATCAATGCGAGCTGTGGCAAGAAGGTTTGCTGTGTCTGTCAGCATAGTGGCCAGAGCATGGAGGCGCTACCAGGAGACAGGCCAGTACATCAGGAGACATGGAGGAGGCCATAGGAGAGCAACAACCCAGCATCAGGACCGCTACCTCTACCTTTGTGCAAGGAGGGACAGGAAGAGCAGTGCCAGAGCTGTGCAAAATGACCTCCAGCGGGCCACAAATGTGCATGTGGCTGCTCAAACAGTCAGAAACAGACTCCATGAGGGTGGTATGAGGGCCCGATGTCCACAGGTGGGGGTTGTGCTTACAGCCCAACACCGTGCAGGATGTTTGGCATTTGCCAGAGAACACCAAGATTGGCAAATTCGCCACTGGCGCCCTGTGCTCTTCACAGATGAAAGCAGGTTCACACTGAGCACGTGTGACAGACGTGACAGGGTCTGAAGACGCCGTGGAGAACGTTCTGCTGCCTGCAACATCCTCCAGCATGACCGGTTTGGCAGTGGGTCAGTAATGGTGTGAGGTGGCATTTTTTTAGGGGGCCGCACAGCCCTCCATGTGCTCGCCAGAGGTAGCCTGACTGCTATTAGGTACCGAGATGAGATCCTCAGACCCCTTGTGAGACCAAATGCTGGTATGGTTGGCCCTGGGTTCCTCCTAATGCAAGACAATGCCAGACCTCATGTGGCTGGAGTGTGTCAGCAATTCCTGCAAGACGAAGGCATTGATGCTATGGACTGGCCCGCCCGTTCCCCAGACCTGAATCCAATTGAGCACATCTGGGACATCATGTCTCGCTCCATCCACCAACGCCACGTTGCACCACAGACTGTCCAGGAGTTGGGGGATGCTTTAGTCCAGGTGTGGGAGGAGATCCCTCAGGAGACCATCCACCACCTCATCAGGAGCATGCCCAGGCATTGTAGGGAGGTCATACAGGTACTTGGAGGCCACACACACTACTGAGCCACATTTTGACTTGTTTTAAGGACATTACATCAAAGTTGGATCAGCCTGTAGTGTTTTTTTCCACTTTAATTTTGAGTGTAACTCCAAATCCAGACGTGCATGGGTTGCTAAATTTGATTTCCATTGATAATTTTTGTGTGATTGTGTTGCCAGCACATTCAACTATGTAATGAACGAAGTTTTTAATAAGAATATTTCATTCATTCAGATCTAGGGTGTCTTATTTTTGTGTTCCCTTTATTTTTTTGAGCAGCGTACATAAAACATGTGTTACTTCACTAGCATCTTTTTAATTCCTAGGATGGGGTGGAAGAGAGCAGAGAATAGAGGGGTGGCACAATTATTTTACCGTGTACATTTTTAGTCAGATGAATGCTGTTTACCAACAAGCAATCTGACTTATATTTTGTGGTTGGCAGTTGCTTACTAATGGCTGTCCCCAGCTGTTCTGAAAAGTTGCACTAATTTAAAAATCAATATTAATATTCTGTTCTTAAGCAGAAGATAGTGTGGGCCCAGCAAGATGTAGCATTTTGCATTGTTGTCTTGAGCAGCCAAACTCTTATGCCAACAGTCTGTGGATTATATTTTACATGGGTGTATATATTGCACATCCAGTTCATGATTTAATGCCAAGTTGGCTGTATTTGTGCATTTCTTAAAAAGGTTCATTGATTTGGGTCACAAGCCTCATGTTTTAGGGCTCAGGTATCGTAAGACTCATTCATGCAGTGTAGGCTATGAATGCGACAACTGAATTAACCAGTAATGCAAACTTCTTGAAGTAATTTGCCTTTTCTCGTTGCCCCTTTTCATTCATTGAAAACAATTCCAGTTAAAAATTGGTTAAAAAAATTACCAGTCTAACTGGTTTCCCCCACAACAGATATGTACTTCTTAATCTAGAGGTGTGATGGAACATAGTTTTGGGAGTATTTAATTGGTTTTTCTAGTCTCTGAAAAGATAGCAGTTTTTGTATACTGATTCCGAATGTACAGTATTCAAAATATCCTTATATTATACCCTAAATATCCTTATCCTTATACCCTAAATGTCCTTTTTACTGAGAATCTCCAACTGCCTTAAAAGTGGGCAAATCTCTTCACATAAGGATCCTGAGGCCCCTAAAATGCAGCATTCCTTAAGCCCTATTTCAATTGAAATGCTAAGACTTAAACCCAGTTCTTTCTTATAAAAGTATCTTAGGAGAAGGGACTCGGTTCTTTGCATAATTTGATATGATGTTATTGTATGTTTAAATATATGTAGGTGGTTTATATTAATTTTGTATATTAATGCTTACGATTCTTTACCTGTTATTTAATCATTGGATTCTACACTTTTCTTTTAATTTGTATATTTTTCTGTATTTCTCTTTAAAAAAAAATTGTGATAACACTTTTAAAATACCTGATGCATTAAAAACAGGTCCACCTACATTCAGTCCATATCTTCCCCACCCATTTGGCTCTAGGTTTCAGGAATGTTCTTAGCCTATGTGGAAGTTAGTCATACCTTTAACAGGGTTCAGGCTGATGTAATCAGATGATTCATTCACTTCTGTATTCAGTTCTGCAGATTATTGCTTTTCAACTGTATTCTGATTTAAGCTTCCTGGGGGTGGGAATGCCAGCTGAGTCACATATGGAGTTCTGTCAGAGTGTTTGCAGTGTGATTACTATTGTGAGACAACCCAGGAGCACAACACAGCACACAGAGGCTGTTTATGAGTCTGTTTACTGCATGGGTATAGGACAGTGGTGGCTAACCTTTTCATTGTTGCGTGCCGAAAGTGCACCCATAATTCAATGCACGCGTGACACCCCCTGCACATGGGCATGCCCCCCTGTGCACATTGCGCCGTGTGTGCGACCCACCCGCATGCCCCTTGCCCCCTTTGCATGCACGCGTGTCTCCTGTGCACGCCCCGCCCCCGCACGTGTGCAGTGGATCTATTCCGGGTGACTCACGTGCCAGCAGAAATGGCTCCGCGTGCCACTTCCAGAACACGTGCCATAGGTTCGCCATCACGGGTATAGGAAATACTATGATAGAAAGAGAAAAGTACTCTACAGCCAAGCATTTTAAATTTTATTTTAAGGACCATGGTTCATTACTGAAAGTCAGTTTGGTGTAGTGGTTAAGGCACTCCGGCTAGAAACTGGGAGACTGTGAGTTCTAGTCCCACCTTAAACACAAAGCCAACGGGATGACTTCGGGTCAATCACTCTCTCTCAGCCATAGGCAAGGGCAAAATACTTCTGAACTCTTTGAAAAAGAAAAAGAAAAACCACGGAGACTACATAGTCCCTAAGTCAGCCCTGACTTGAAGGCAAAAAAACAAATCAAACCAAAACAAAAATCAACAACAAAAACCCCTTATATGTGATAGTTACTATTTGAAATGAAATTTGCATAGATTTTTTTTTCTGCTTTGCATTGGTGGTGATGGATTCACATTAGTGATAGTGCTTAGTTGGGTAATGGGTAGCATCTTGTTTGTGATGGATTAGGGCTCACGCATCACGCTAGCATGTGTGTTTTGTTTTAGATTAGCAAGTTTTAGTCGCTTTAATCATTTTTTAATGTAGCTTTAATAAATATAGTTTATTATTGTGTTGTATTATATATCGTGGATTGTTTGTTAAGCCACAGCTTGTAATCAAGATTTAGCATAATCTGAATGTTGTTCAATAAATTAGTAGGGAACACCATCCATCCAATAATGCTATATATTTATTGCCTGACCTGTCCATAGCGAATGGGGGTACATAAGTGCATTGTGTGTATAGATTTGTATTTTTATTAAAGCAAGTGCTTACCACTTAAGACTTAATGGACTATTTTCTTTCAGATGGGGTCGAGGATTTGGCCTACTAGGCTCCATTTTTGGAAAAGACAGTGCAATAAATCAACCAAACAGCGTTTTCAGTCTTGTATTCTATATACTACAAATGTTGCTTGGTAAGTAGCGGACTACCATCTCTCACCCCTGCCTATATCTTCCTTATTTTTTTTGCTCTTCTAGGCATGAGTAGGATATAATTTTGTGTGTGTGTGATTATTTCAGTCTCGTAATCAAAATCTTGTATAATAGTATTGAGTGCTAACAATTGTAGCATGTGCTTCCCTAATCTCCCATTTAATTCATGCCTGCCTGACAAATGTGATGTCTAAGTTACGTTCACAGTCCTTTCAGCAGTGCCTGCAGATCCTAAAGCAAGGCTGGAAAAACTTGCTAATTCCCAGGGATTTCATAGCAGGGCGTTTTTTTTTGGAGGGGGGGGATCAACATTAGAGAACTGAGGCTGATAATCAGATTCCTCTTTACCTCCTTCTGCTATCTACGATAGCTAGAATTCCCTTCCCAATCTTCTCCATGAAGTGCCTACTCCTTCCTTTAAATCCAGGCCAGACTTTTGCAAATACCCACTGCTTTAGTTGCTTGTGGATGATGGCAAAGAACAACTAGATTCTAAAATCCAAACAACTAGATTCAAAAATTCTAATAAAAATAAACCCCTTCCCCCCCCCAAAAAACCCTTAATAATTAGATTTTAAATGATTATGCACAGGTAATCATGCTGCATTATACACAATACTGTTTTTTGTGAGTGTATTTGCAGGTGTGTGTAACAGTGTCTGCTCCTGTTCGCCCCTGTCTGCCCTTGCCCCTTTCATCCTCCCGCTCCCCCTCTTCTACTCTCCCAGCTATCAAGACTTCAGGTTGTGGGATCCATTCTCTTATTTGCATGCCATAGAAAAATGCCATGCATGACATTGTTGCTGTGTAAAACAATATAGGGATGTCTTATGCGTCTTCTTCACCTGAGACACGGAGCTGTACCCGCAGTGAGTGTGTATGAATTTCCAGCAGGAGTCCTAATCTTCTGCTTCAGTCTCTTGACCAGTTTTTAGTTCTGTTATAAAAGTAACTTTTGGATCTTCAAAGAGGGGCAGACGTAGTTCGTAACTGAGCAGATATAATTTTATTCATTTAATAATTTTTTATGTTGCTCACCTGCCCTACATGGTGACTCTGCATGACTTACATTTTTATTTTATTTTATTAATTTAATTTAATGCTTAATGGGTTAATTACATTTTGTGAGCCCAGTCATAATGTTGCTTCATTTCCTGGGGACAGTTAAGAGAATGTGGAACCACTCCAAGGTCTCATGCAGTCTTCTTCCTCTCCTGTCCCCAGTTTTGTGCTGCTTCTCCAGCCTGCAAACTCACCCCTTCTCTTCCCCCCCACCAAATAAACTTGGGAAATATTAATGCTTACAAAATTAACTGCAAGGTAAGGTTTTGCAAACTGAGATTTGAATTGCAGTTAATTGTGTGTCATGGTTAATGCCCACACAACATTATATTAATGTTAATTGCAAAAAGAGCAAGGTGAGCTGCTGTATGTTTCTTCAGTTCTTAATATCAGTGGGCTGAGAATCCTGGCTCTTTTTCTTTTAGACTGTATTTAATGGGTCTGCTAACATAAACTAATGAATACCTTAAGCTATCATACAATCTTGAAACTCCTGAATAATTGGGAATTTATCTGTTGAAATAAGGAACATGTACTGTATTTTTAAGGTGGTGGGAGAGATGGATATCAGCTTGCTTGGCATTTCTGATGCTAGCCATCAGTCATAAGTGCTGGATCCAAAGCATTGATTCTTCTAAGTGAGTAGATTGTTTTCTACAGTGGTCAGTCAGATGGGCCTGGGAAAGTCCACGATCAGGGCATGAGGACCCTATTCTCTTCCATTTTAGCAACAGAAAAGTAGAGGCATTCTGCCTCTAAATTTGGAAATGCCATTTAATCAGGATTATGAACAGCAATAAACCTCATGCATGTATCTACATTTCTCATAAATTCTGCTCCTCAGTTAGTGAACTTTGCTGTATTTTAACAATTATCCATAAATTAGATGTTGTAGGTGTTTGCAGCATTTTAGAAATACTTTGCGAGTGGAATCAGCTACCCAGAGAACTGGTGGGCTCCTTTTCAATGGATGTGCTCATGTGGAGACCGGACAGTCATTGTTTTGGAATGCCACATATTGGATTCTGGCATGGGGCAAGGTCCAGTCCTTGCCAGTTTTATCATTCTGTGAAAAAAGGCATTGCTTGTTTCCTTCACATCAGCATGCAGTGAACAGCCTTTTACTAATTTGTTCTTAAGCCTTTGAGTTGAGGAGAAACCTCCTCCTTGGTTGACAAGACTTTGAAATGGTACCTGGCAGGTTTGACCACATTTTGCTCTTCTAACCCCTTGACCTAAGTTCTTGTTGATAGATAATGGCTTGTAACCAGAGAAAGCCACCGCACTAACTGCTTGTCTTCTTCTTCTAGGTATGACAGCAAGTGCAGTAGCAGCGCTGGTCCTCATGATGTCCTCCATAGTGTCAGTAATAGGATCTTTGTACCTGTCTTATATTCTGTACTTTGTGCTGAAGGAATTCTGCGTAGTCTGTGTTATCACATACTTGCTGAACTTCGTTCTCTTGATCATCAACTACAAACGACTAGTATACTTGAATGAGGCCTGGAAACGGCAGCTCCCACCCAAACAGGATTAACTGCTTTGCAAAACTTTTGACTGACAGTTTGAAGGCCCGGCTTCTGTTTATATTCATTTCCACAGTAAAAAGATTTTTTTTAATTATTATTCATATCACTTGCTTTCCCCAGGAATCATAGCTAATTCAGTTAGAATGACTCAAAGGATAGGGGCCCTGGGTAACTCCTCAGTCAATAGCTATGGGGAGGAACTGTTTGCAAACGTCTTAATCTGATCAGAGACAAGCTTTAACTTTACTTTGAAGGAGTTCGCAGAGGCATATTCTTTACTCCTTCTTTACCCTTCCCCAAATATTCCAGGTAGGCTACAGAAAGTCTCCCATCTCAGTGTGAATTGAGGTAGGGGAAGTCTTAACTGGGAGATTATGATTATTCTAGACTTTATAGGTACCATAGGGAAATGTTGCCCTGTTTACATTATGTGTATTGGTAGCCAAGGGAATTTGACCACACAGATGGAACTAAAACATTTACCACAACTTGGCGCAAAGTGGTAGAAAAGACTGGCTATGTCCTGGCAAAGAAAGATCAGCACAGCTCAACCAAGTGATGACTTGAAGCATAACTTTGAAGAACGGTTGATTGTGTTATTGAGATGTTTTTTTAAAAAAATGAAATTGAAATTAGTCTGTTTCCCTGGAGAAGATTTGCAACAAAAGATCTTTGCCAAGATGCTGTTTTTCCTCAGGATATGTCTAAAGAAAAGGAATTCAAATGGCGTTTTTTTTTGTTTTTTTTTTTTTAAAAAAAGCCTGAACTACGTTGGGTTTCCTTGTAACATCTGAACTGTTTGCTGTGGATGGAAACAGTCTTTGTCTGGGGATGCTTAACAAGGGTAATGGGGCATCTAGAGTTGCCCAGGCCTCATCAGTAGGAAGCCTGTACAAATGACATTTGAGGGGCAGAATTGGCTGTGTACTTCAGAAGATGGGAGACAGCCAAAGAGTGTTAGCCAATTTGATTATAATATTTCTAGCTGCTGTATTGAATTACAACTTGACACTGGATCTCAGTAACCCACTGGGTAAATGAATGCACTGAAGAATTAGGATGCAGTCCGTCTGTGAGCCCTTTGGAACTAAGTTCCACAGAAGTGAAGAGGGGGGTATATAAAGAAACGTCAGTGGAGGGTGCTTTGATGTTCCTGAGAAATTCCCCTTCATTTAGTGAAGCTTGTGTAGAAAACCCAGATTATGGACATAGATAGATTTATATCTGTAGAGGCAGAGCAATTTCAAATTCCTACATACAAATTTGGCTAAGGCTTAGGGAGATGTACATTGACGCTCCCTCACCCATTTAGGATAAAGGAAATAGACAGTAAACAAAATTGGCCCAAGATTCAGTCATGGTTCTATTGAAAGAGCAAGTTGAAGTAATTTCCCATTCATATCGTCCTAAAATGCAGTGTTTTTTTTAAAAAAAGTGCCTTCTGTCTTAACAAACCAAATATTGGGGGTGATTGAAATTGGCAGGCAGAAAGGTTCTTGCATCTCTATATATAATATTTTTGATGAATCAGATCTTTGCAGTGTGTAGTAGGTGATCCTTTGAGCTTCTCTTATACCAGGGCACCAGGGAAATGGTTCCTTGTAGGACATTCCTGGAGGTATTTTTTTTTTTTTTTGAGAGAGAGAGAGAGAGACAGAGAGAGACAGAGACAGAGAGAGACAGAGAGAGACAGGCTGCCGACCTGATTGGCACAGCTTTGAACTCTGCAGTCAATGCTGACTTCTGCTTTTCCTGCTGGAGTACCCCTTAGAAAGACATGCTTTTTCTCAGAACATAAAATTTTGTCTGCTATATTTAGATTTAGGGCTTAGTTTACCCAGGAGTCCCTCAGTATGCCTCGGTATGTCAGGGAAGCCTTGGAAGATGGTTGCAGTTTCTTATATGACAGCTGAGTCATAGCTGTTCCAAGCAAACCAGAAGAGCTACTCCTCAGCAAGATTGCCCTGTTTCTTCCTGCGGTGGCAGAACGAGGATCCTGTTGCAGCAGCCTGTTTCTCATTGGAATGCAAGAATGTACCAGAAGCTTCCAGAGAATGAATGAGTTACAGGATTGATAGGATCGAAAAGGAGTTATCGGTGACCGAAGCAGCTTTTGGAAGCAAATGGATGCTGTGATCTGCCAGAGGCTTCTTGTGATGTGTATTCACCAGTTGGGCTCCCTGAGATCATTAAGACGGTTCTTCTGCTCATGATGAACACATTTGGGTGACTTGTATTAAGGGTAGAAAGCAATTTTGGCATCTTTTATAGCAGAGATAGCCGTGCACTTGGGTCATAACAAGCTAACTAAAAAGACCGGGTCAGGCCAGAATATAGCCAGAATACAACAAAGGGCATTGTTGCCAAAAACTTGAACCCTGTTGTTTCCTTACCGTCAATGCTTGCTTCTGCTTATTCCCAAGAAGAGTGATCTTCCCAAAAAGCTCCCTTTTAAAATTCCAGTCTGCGTCTAAACACTTTCCTCCTCCTGAGTCTGTAAGGAGACCTCTTTTTTTGTGTCATTTTCTATAAAAAAAAAAAAAAATCAGCATTAAGGTATAAATGTGATTCGCTTAACATTTTGTAAAAGTGCAGGATTTTATTTTCCAATGGGAGCAGCATCTGCTGAAGATGGGATGTCTGACAGTATTTAAATGCCTGCCAAATGAACATTCGGTTTATGTACAGAACTATGGTGGAACGCAAGTTTAATGGAGGAAGACAGGTGTTTATGGTGTGTGTGTGTGTATATATATGTATATGTACATGTACATGTACATGTATGTATATATGTATTAAAAGGAACACTAATTTCTGCTTGTTGTCCTTGTCAAAGAGTTTCTCAGAAATGTATTTTGTATTAACCAGAGTACAGTTAAAGCTTGTCTTGAATTTTGAAATTAGAGCTGATGGGGGAAGTATAATTTTCAAATTTTGTTACCTTTGGTATGTGGAGAATATTTTCAAGTTTATACCCTCACTGATAAAATTTTATTTTAAGACATTTATGTAACATAGTGTGAAGCTTTATTTTTTTACATGTCTGCAGATGAGATGGGGCTTTTCTATCTTTCTAAGTAGAGATTTCCATTATCTATACCAGGGTGGGCAACAATGGCAACTTCATGACCTGTGGACTTCAACTCCCAGAATTCCTGAGTCATGCTCTGGAATTCTAGGAGTTGAAGTCCACAGCTCATAAAGTTGCATAGTTGCCTATACACCAGGGTCAGTTATAGGGGATACAAGGGAGTTGTAGTTTTCTTCCTAGGACTTCCCCTCTCCAATTCCTTGGGCGGAAGTGCAAGTTGACCCCATTTTCCCCTCTGCTGAAAAGTTACCTGTTCTGCTCATTTCTCTTTCCAAGTCAACATTTTTTAAATGTTGATTCTTATTTTTTTTTTTGTTCAAGACAGAGGTGTGAAGGTATCGTCACCCTGTGTATGTTTAAGCAAAATCCTGACTTCTGTACCACTCTCCCCCATCTCCCAATTTCAGTAGTATTGTGTGGTGTTCAATGTTTTAACACCACACAATGTGTTGGATGAGTGTTCTCAATCAGGTCCCCTTCAGACATGTTGGGACCTCCCCCCCCAACTCCCAGAATTCCTAGGCAGCTGAAACACTTTGGACTAAGGGCCAAACTGGACAAGATTTTGAAGTAGAGGTTGTAGGGCACCCTTTGTCCAAATGGAAAATTGGTCCTCCTGAGTGCTGGGCTGTGAGAAGCAAGCCAATATTTTTAACACAGCGGAGCCTACTCCTTGCCTGTGCATTGTAATATTTGCAAGCAGGTGATGGGAAAATCTCACTGCAGGTGTGGACTCTCTGCTGTCTTCCCTCTCCTTCCATCAAGGTAATTCGTTCTCTTTAAGGTGCTTGGCCATATTCTCAAACCTATATGGAGGATGGAAGATGCAGCATCTCCTTGTTTTTCTCCAGCGCAGCTTTCACTGTGTTTCACTCCAATTCCCATCTTTTGATTTGGAAAGCTTAGGAGCCCCTGCTCTTTGGTTCTGTCTCATCAGCTAAGTTGCTTCTAATTTTAAAGGAGGGGAACTTTTTAAGTGACAAAAAGTTCAGGGTTGTTTTTTTTTTAAAACTAACAGTGTCCCAGGAGGTAGTTTTCTTGAAGATCAGTTTAATTCTCTCTACCACCACCACCACCCTAAATCTACATCTCTCCCACTTGCTGATGGCTCAGAAGAAAGGGCCCTGACATCTTTCCCCAAGAAATCAAGGGTTTCCATAGGTCAGACAAGCCCTTTTCATTTCTTAAGAAATCTTACTTGGCCTCAGTCAGTATGGTTCTCGGTGCTTGTAATGCAGTTTTGAATGGATGAACGGCTTTCTTGAGATACCAGAGAATGTATCCATGAAGCAGATGGCTCCACTGCATCTAGTATATTGCCACTCCCAGGAAAGGTTTCTGTCACTTGATTTTTAGGAGGAATCAAGAAGTAGCAAGAGAAATCTATATACCCTTGGAAGAGGAATATTTCTACTAAGGCAACTCTTTAAGGAAAACGTCACAGTGGGCTCTAGAATGAGATGAAACTTTCAGGAAATAATTACTTTGGGGCTCAATTCGATATTCTGATTCAAAACAAAGAGACAAAAATGATTTTCTTTTGGCTGATTAATATCTCCTGATCTGTATGAACAAAAATGGTCAAAACAGGTTAAACATTTGCTTGGATTCTTTCAAGACCAATTAAATATGACCTAGTAAAACTAGTAAAAAAAAAGATGAAGTATTCCGTTTCCATTTTTAAAAAAAATGTATTAAGCATGGCCTAAATATTCAATGTGTGTTCTGTCTCGTATGTTTGATCTGACAACTTTTTGATGTGCTTCGAACATTTCCACCTCGATTGGAATCATTCCATTCTTATTTTTTTATTTTTTGGTTCAATATAGGACTGTGACATTCTGAGATTGAAATTCAATTTTGCTAACAGGGGAATTAAAACCATGTAAATATTGTAAGAATGTTTATTTGTTGCACATAACTTTTTTGGTATAAAAATAAACGTAGAAATTATCTGTGGATGTGTTTGTAGAATGTTTTGTAATCTCCTGTGCTGATTTGTTTCCAGCCCTCACTGAAATCATAAATTCTTTCATTTTTAATTACCAAACACTAGCCATTTCTTGACATTCATGTTAAAAGTGCCACTTTTAAACCAAAAATCCATAGGGTTGCAGTGGCTGAATTCAAGCATTGTGTTGAGCCACACTTTCTTTAAGGACTGATCCTTAAAGGAATTGGCTGAATTCATAAAAGTTAAGGCATAAACCATTGGTCATTAATCAATCATAGTGACTAGGCTTATGCAATATGATGTCATTTGGCTTGTTTGTGACTTAGTATTTTGTGGCAAACCTACACAATTGTGGTATATTCATTAAATGATGGAAAACTCACGAGACCCCAATTTAATATTGGATTCATAGTGGGCTGTAAGCCATATTTATGGTTGGTTTGGCTTGGCTTTGTGTTATGGCAACCCAAACATTGAGCATTTACAGACTATGGGTAATATGTGTATGGAGTGATGCTTTTTTTAGCCCCCTAGGCATCTACAGTATAATGTTCTGTCCGATGGATAATATATTGTTGACAGGAACTGCCATGTTAACTTTTTTGACACCCTCCCCCCGAAATGCCTTTACTGCCACTGAAGGGAAGACATTTAGGTGACACACATCCCACAAGAGCCTCCCAGGGAA